CTCAACCTGTGAGTCTCTTTTCCCTTTACATCCCGGGAGGCAGGAGGGTGAGCGAGTGGTTGTTATGGTGTTTTGCTGCAAGTCAGGGGTAAAACCATGCCACCACCCAGGAAGAAGTCATGACAGAGCAGGATGTGGTAGCAGTGGCTGGTGGTGGCTGGAGAAAGGGTATCGGTGCTCAAAGTCTGACTTTGAAACCTGTGTTTTTTCAAGGTGTTGGTTTGTGAGCTTAGTCTAGAGAATTACAGTTAAGAGGTGCTTCAGAAAGCTGTTACTCTAAGGTCCTTTTTGAGATCTGGAAGCTGACTTTGCAGTGGGGCAAAGTCCAGTACATTAGATGAACCTGTTGGTTTCCTGGGCTGGAATGACATGGATGAGAACTCAGTTGAGATCTGCTGAGAGACCGGTGAAGCTACCTCTTGCTCCTCGGCCTTTAATTGTTGCTTTTCCTCTTCCCTTTCTTGGTGTGTTCCAGGGCAGCAAATATTCATATTCATTTGTGTAAGGGGTGTACTGAAAGCTAGCTTGTGATTTAAAACTTTGTTGAAAAACTTGTATCCATAACCTTAGTTGCTATGTCTTTTGTATTAGTCTTGCATTTCACCCTTTAGATGTTTCTGTATTAACATTTGTCAGTATATGCGCTAAATGTCAGTGAAGGCAATAGTCAACTAGTCTTTCAATGTGTTTTTAGTGAAGGAAGCATCTAATCCCTGGTGCCCAGTTTTTTTCATTTTTTTCTTCAGGAAAAAAAAAGGGGTTTTGGAAAGTATATGCTCTAGGTATTGAGGGATATAAATAATTTATGAGGCTAAGATGAACTATTTCTGAATGAAGACGGTGACTGGCTGGATAAATGGGCCATACCTAATTTTACACTGCTTCTGCAGTGGCCTTGAAAGGGAATAGAATAGTGTAAGTGGCATTGTCTTCCATCCTGTGTTTCTGCTTAGTTTCGTACCAGAACTATTTGTTTTCTCCTAGCTTATGTTGGTTTTGTTTGTTAGATAAAGCCAGATTTATCACTCACAGTGGAGCATAAGTGCTGTATTAACTCTCTTTTTTGTCTTCCTTTGAATAGCCATGGTCAGAGAGACACTGCACAAATTCTTTTGATGAGAGGAGCCAAATATTTACCAGACAAAAATGGTATTACTCCACTGGATCTCTGTGTACAGGTATTGAATTAGCAACACTCTTTTTCTGTGAACTTTTATCACTCACTGCAGTGTCATCTGATCAGTGTTACCTTTTTAGTTTTAAGGCCTATGGAAGATGGTAGTCCTTTGGCAAAACAGAATTGCAAAAATTTTTTTTTGCAATTAAATTACAAATAATTTTTTAGCAGGTTTCAAATTTGTACCCTTTGCAAAAGGCTTTAAAGATGTCAATGAGATCCCATTAAAGACTTTGCAGGATTGGAGCTCATGAGACACAAAGTTTGCGGAACACCATTTGACTAGAAAGTTTGGGAATCCTTGATCTAATGATAATAGACTCTGTTTTGGTGCTTAACTCTTAACAAGTAAGAGGTGAAGGCATGCGGAAAGGACTGATTTTGTTTATCTCAACTAATATATTTTATTTTCTCTTGAAGAGATATTACTAATAAAAACAAACAAAACTTACATGGTGCTGAATCTTACTTTGCAAGGGTATTCCAAATTCTGTATCTGGATGATGAACAAGGAACAAGAAGTCTTAAGCATTTTCAACTGCTTTGCAAAACACAGTCTTTTTTGCTTGATACAAAATATTGTTTGTACTGCTTGCTAGGGTGTCTTTTCTTGATTTGTGAACATTTACACATTTTTCTGTAGGACCAGTTTAAGGTCACTATGTAAATAACATGTAATGAATGAATGGAAACTTTTGAACCTTTGCTAGTAATCAGCAGACTAGAAGAGTATGAGCTGGAGACTGAAAAATCACTGTGCTTAGTGGGCATCATATTACCTTGGTGCATGTCATTAGTTTGGCAGGGTAAATTTGAAATGTTCAAACCTATTGCTGTCCTAACAAATTAAAATAATCGTAAGTTATTTGATTCTGAAGATTCCTCTTGTGTCTAAGACCTGCAGTTGAAGTAGCTGTGTGTATGTGATAGAGACTGCCACCTTCAGTACCCATGTGATGTTTTTGGAATGTTTAACCCTGGAAAAAATTATTTAATAGAATATCTGTAGAAGGTCTTGATCAAGTTAGGTTACTTACAGCATTTCTTTTTGGATATAAGAAATCCTAATAAGTCCTCAGATCTGGTCATTCAGAAGTGCCAGGTCACTACACTGCCTCATGACTGACTCAACTGTGAAGCTCAGAGTTAGATTTTTCTCTTTATTATGGCAGAATGACTTTACCATAAAACCACACAAAGTCTATTCGGTTTTGAGGCTTCCCATGGCCGTGGACCTGTAAGAAAGTATACCAACGTGTACTTAATGGTACTGTTCTTGGTTTTTTATGATTAGCACTTCAAATGTCTGCTTCAGTCTCCAGTTTTCTGATCTCCAGGGCACCACTTTGTACATAAAAATTCTGTCAACTTTTTTTAGGTGTGAGCAGTGACACCTGGTGTTTGCTGTTTTGTAGTGATGATTGTACTCTGTTCATGATCATCTGGTTTACAAGCTTGTGATACTAAGTAAAAAAGGAGAAAAAAACATTTTATTTTCTTTTACATCAAGGGTTTTATTCTTTGCTTACAGGTTTCCTTTTAAGAGCAGATACACGTTTTTAGAAGATGGAAATTATAGTTTTGTATAGTTCTTGTCAACTTGGTATTACCTTGATTTTGAAGAGCTGACTTTCATTAATTCTTGTGGATTCTGGGTGGTTTCAATTTTAATACTGAAGTTCTTGGAACTAGGAGCAATTAAATTAATCTGTTACCATTGAAGGAAGTTATGAACTGTCATGGAAACAGGAGCCTCTGGAATTGCAGCATTTAATACATTACGTGGTCATCTTCCCAATGTAGAATTTGGTCTATATTCAAGTGTTATCTCTCTGCTTAAAAGTGCAACAGTGTTAAATAAGAGTTGATACAAATAAACTACAAATTCATGTTCTGTTCTTCCCCAAACAACCATTTTTCTCAAAAGGTTGTGAAGTTAGTTTGAGCTGTTGATCTAAGGCACAAGTGGAATCATATTTCTGTATTAATTTTAAAGTTAAATAACCCTTTCATGAGTTTCTCCTATTTGTTACTTTAACAAGTCAGATTTGTGCCTTACAAACCTTTAGGAAAATACTTGAAGGATTAGATTCTGGATGTAATTAGGTAGATGGGTGGCATCCATCAGCAATGGGAAGAGAAGCTAAATATTACACTGTTTTTAATCTCTGGTAAATTGTTGGGGAAAGTGGTGTTCAAATGTGACTTTGGCTTTCTAAATAGAAAAGTGTTTCAAAAAAAGAAGAAAGGGAGCGGATATATGTGAGCCGATATACTGAAGGAATTTGATTCCATCGTGTCCTGAATGTTTTGTATCTAACCTTGGTACATAATTGAATTTCAGTTTATTTTAGGATTGAATTTCTCCATTCAGCATTAAAAATATATATATTTGTAATCCTCAATATATTTTAATGCCTATAATTGTGTAAAACCCAATTCTAATGTTTCTTTTGATTAAAATGGTTTTTGAACTATTGCTTTTTAGGGTGGATATGGAGAGACTTGTGAAGTCTTAATCCAATATCATCCTCGACTTTTCCAGACAATAATTCAAATGACGCAGAATGAAGATCTACGGGAAAACATGGTAATAGAGTATTATGTGTTTCATAGTTACTGATCTGTCTGTGTTGTGGAGATCTGCTTCCTTAGTGTGAGTGTCCTGATTAAGAAGACACTACCAGCAGTTGGCTGTTGGTGCCACAGTAGTTGATTGCTATGTACTTTTGTTTCCCCTGTGGAAAATGTGCAGTCTTCACATAGTTTTAAACACAAGAATTTGGAATTAAATGTATGATCTATTTTAATTTAGTGTTCTAACTTTGTGTATTTGGCAAAGTGATCTAAACAGTGTAAAAATTGAAAGAGCAGGTTTGTTGCAAGCTTTATTATGAAGGTGCTGGTAGGGCATTCTATATATACAACTACTTTGTCTAGTGGAGCCTATGTTCCTTCATTCAGTGGTTATCTGCAGATGTCCATTCTAGGATGTGTCTTAAAGCTTGAATCATCTAGAATGAACTTTAAGATTTGGAGTATGAGCACTCATCTGTATGAAGTTGCCTTGTACAATGAGTGCAAAAAATTGCAGCTGCAATTTTATTTGGTTATAATTGCTGTAGATGCAGCTGTTCTGTTCCTTTTTCAGTGGTTCTTCTTTACCTTGTTTCTTTTATTATTGTGGGGTAGTGTAATCTAAAGCAGAGAAAGAGCAAGGAAAATAATTTTTGTTTCTTGATTGTGTAGGTGGAAGGAAGCATGGAGTGCTTTTTCCCCCTTCCAAATCTAGCTAGCTGTGGCTTTTTAATATGTTGTTTTCTTGAAAATAACTGCAAACAATCTTACAGACTGTAAATTAAAAAAAAAGAGTAGATTTAGTAAGGTATTGGCTGCCATTTCACTGAATCTTGTTTTGATAGATTTTTGAAGTTTCTATGGTTCTCTGTAATCCCATTACCTCCACTATGAGACTGAGGATTTATAAGCCTGTAGAGAAACAGTGTTTAAATTTCTGAGACAGGGTTGAGTTTTGCCAAGTAAAATGACAGAGAGGTGAGAATTCTCAAAATGTGTATTAGAAACATGGGGAGGTGGTGTAGATGTTTTCAAATAAAAGAGAAAGCCAAAGGACTAAATCCATGGAACAAAAAAAGACCTTTTACAGAAAGGTAAATGGCAAAGCATACTATTGTATATTGTAGAAACACAAGAAAAATGAGTGTTTCATCTGTCTGTCTGAGTAATGGTGGAGGTGTGTGCAGAACCAAGATCTGAATGACAGGGTATGCAAAGTACATTAGATAATACATGGTCTAGTTATGCTTCATTGCTGAAATGGAAGCATGTTTTACGTATCATATTCTATGACCGAGTCTGAGCTGTTCTGCCCAAAGTTCAGTTCATGTTATCAGAAAAGGATGACATGAAGAGACTGGATGTATGTTAGAAGTCAGGATTCACATTTTAAATGTTCTTGACAAACTAGAAAAATAGTTGACAGACTGCAAGGAGAATGATATTGCCTTAGACATTTGTAGCTAGAGATTCAACTGAACCCTGAGGAAAAACTTTCACATGGTCAAGGACAGTGAAGTATTAGAAGAGATCACCTAGTGAAGCTGCAGGGCTTCCAGGGTAGAAGATATCTAAAAACCAGCCAGCCAAATTGGGCAAGCCAGTCTGGATTGCAGATACAAGTGGTCCTGCCTTGGGTCAGAGTGTTGGACTAGGTTATGTTTATGAGATTTCTTTTCCTTCCACATTTCTGCAGTTCTCTGAGAAAGATTACCAAACTTTCTGAAAGTGAGAGAGAAGAGAGTAAATGAGGATAC